TGTCCACTCACTGTCCACTTTATTAGACACTCCTACCTTGTTGGCCCACCTTGTGGATGTAAAGTCAGAGACGATAGCTCATCTGCTGCTGCACGGTTTGTGTTGGTCATCCTCTAGTCCTTCATCAGTGGTCACAGGACGCTGCCCACAGGCTGTTTTTTTTGGTTGGTGGACTATTCTCAGTCCAGCAGTAACACTGAGGTGTTTAAAAACTCCAGCAGCACTGCTGTGTCTGATCCACTCAGACCAGCACAACAAACACTAACACACCACCACATGAGTGCAGTGCTGAGAATGATCCAACTCCCAAATAGTACCTGCTCTGTGGTGGTCCTGTGGGGGTCCTGACCACTGAAGAACAGGGTGAAAGGGGGCTAACAAAGTATGCAGAGAAACAGATGGACTACAGTTTGTAACTGTAGAACTACAAAGTGCACCTATATAGTAAGTGGAGCTGATAAAATGGACAATGAATGTAGAAACAAGGAGGTGTACATAATGAAGTGGCCAGTCGGTGAATACTACACAGATAAACATAAACAAGTGAGAAAAGTCTACAGTCTGGCCTAAAAATGTCTCATAGCAGCAGCAGAAACACATATACCTCCATCTACTGACCGCACTCAGGGCAAGCACATATACACATATACAATAAAATTCATTATACAGTCACAGACCAACAGGAAATCAGTCAACACGATAAACGTTCAGCAGCAATCTGCCTTTAATGGATTTGAGGGAACTGAATTCCACACAGTGATGGAAACACAGGATTACGGGATTGAATTTCACAAGGGGGTTTGAGGAGGGGAATCGAAAGGAAACAAGGGGGCATCAGTTCATTCTCTCATATACAAATACATCAAACTAACACACAGAAATGACACTCTGACTATACGGAATAATAAAAGCCCATTCGCTACCGTATTCTCTCCACCCTGTCACCGGTCCTCACGAGCCGTGACTTGATTGTGCAATTAAGATCACGTTTTTCTTTGTAGTTGTTCTTTGTATCGTAACATTGCATAACAAAGTGAAACTTGGACGTGCTAACTAGTTAACTAAACCTTCTGTAAAAAAAAACAAAAAAAAACAAACAAAAAAAAAAACCTAAACCTTCTGTAAAAAAAAAAATATATATAATTCAGACTTGTTCTTGTTTGGGACAAGTGAACCAACAAAATCAGACTATTACTGTTCTTAATTCCTGTAGGACGTTCTGGTTCTGTTCTTATCTCGGAGTGAAATTCTATGATTGCCTAAAACAAAGACACAAATAAAAAACAAAAATGAACAAACATAAGAAAATAATGCAACACAACTGACAGTGTGTGAAAGTGATTATTAAAGGGGCGCTCTGGCCAAAATTTAAAATATAACCATTACTACTATTTTATGTAAACATGCCTACTCAACTCCTACAGTGGTTCCATGGGAATCTCTACAGCAGGGGTGCAAAACTCTGGTCCAGCACAGTTTGGAGGTTTCCCCACCTAAACACACCCACTAAACCTGCCAATTAGCAGATAAATGCAATCAGGTGTGTCTTAGTAGGTAAATCATCAAACTGTGCTGGACACCAGCCCTCTAGGACCGGAGTTGTGCAATGACGAATAGGAAAACCCCCTTTTCATGATGTATCTGATGTATCTTGCAGGTGGGAGGAACTTTAATCATGTAAAGGGTTCTTTGAATGTTCATGGCTCTATATAGAACCATTTTCTTCACTAAAGATCCCTTGAAGAACCATAAATATATCTGCATAATGCATGATGGGTACTGTAGTGAGGAAACATTAACAGACAAAAACTAAACCAGTCAAACCAGTAATCCTGAAGGCTGACTGAGGGATGCGTGCTGCGTGACAATATTACATGACAACATTAAGTACTGGTTTTAATCTGGAACGCCCCTTTAACGTAAAACACAACAAACTCTCTAAAACTATAAATGTTGAAAGTATTCTATGCCCTTGCGTAAACAAAAATTAATATGAAAAGGGATTTTGAGACATTTGAGTTCAGTGAAAGCTCCTAAAGAGGAAATAACGCTTAACACATATACAAGGCCTTCTTTCAAGATCAAAATCAGACTGGAGTTACTGTACGTCACGCTAAGGCACTCGCTACGTAGTGTTCTGAACTTCACAGCAGCTTCTGGTCGAGATACTTTGATTTGCTGTCCAATAAACAAATCTATCCGGGAAATAAAATGCATTTAGAAAATACTCTGTTCCACCCACTGTAAGGACTATTCACATGTCATCCTGAAGGAGCCATAAGCAGCAGTTTTCTGTTTCTGTTTCACTGTCCCTCATCACAGCACATTAACTGATTGGCTTACTGCTGATCACATGGCTAGTCAACAGGAAGGAACTTGAAATTTTGAGGAAATGCTAGAGTAAAGTCAGCATTCAGCATCCTCAGATTGACTATTTTCATTTGCTAGTATTAGGAAATCTTACTTATTGCTCCATTAAATGATATCCATAAAAAACATTAATATATTTCACATTTCACATTATTAAGATTATAGGTTTGCTGAATGATGTCAGAGGGCCTCGGAACATAAATGAGCTGAAAAGCCAATGTGCTCCTAAAAAGGAGTTCTAGCTTAACTAAAATATACTGATGCTCATGGATGAAGACTTTATTGGATTCCTTAGAGATACTGTGCTTTTGCAGCTGCTACACAAAAACCCTGTATCTCAATGTTTGTGGGCTTTTTGTGCATAATTTCAAAACTCAACTTAATCTTGCGTTGCGCAATAGAAATGGTCCAAAGTTGCTTGGAAAAACCAATTGTTACATTAACTTCCATTGAAAGTTAAGAATGTTTTACTTTCTCTTGTAAAGCTAGCATGTTTTTTTGTTCCAGCAGCGGTGATACAGTGGTAAGATATAGTGCTGCATTCTGTACAATTATACAGGTCATCAAATTTATATATGCACATGCATACAAATCGCTGCTGTCGGAAGAAAACCTTGTATCTCCATTTTGTTCGTTTTTCAGTTTTTGGCATAATTTGAAAGTAGCCAGTGTCCTTTACGTGGTGTGCAAATATCATGATGAACGGACCGACAGAAATGACCCAAAATTACTTGGAAAAAAGTCTGGTTCCATTGACTTACATTAAAAGTAGTGTTTTTTCCTTCTCCTGTAAAGTTATCATTCTGGAGATAGAGGTTTTTTTTCTTTTGATAGCAGTGATATATACATATATGTATAACTGCAAACTGACTAATTTTATGTATGCTTGTGGGAACTGCATTTTTGCGCTTACCCTATCTAAAACAAAACAATGCACTTGCAATACAGCCATGAAAAGGGGGGTGAAATGGTTGAACAAGTTTCCATTGAGATGTTCGTTGCTGATGCAGCATCGCTTTAAGATAACACTCAGACTGTATGGAAGACATGCACTGCAAAAACTCTTAGATACGTAAACGAAGAGTACTTAGTGGAGTTCAAAAACAAGAAAAAGAAAAAGAAAAACAAACAAACCCAAATGATTTGTTGCATGATGTGATTTTAGCTCTTGAGCAGTTTTAAACTGTCTAAAGCAGCCACTGCAGCCACTAAAAGGGAAACTGCTTAAACCAAGTAGGCTCACTAATCGCAATACAGCCATGTGATATGATGGCTGATCACATTAGCTATTGCTAAAAGTCTGCAGTGAAGTTTGTGGCAAATTCATTTAGCTTTTTTTTTTTAGTGCAGCAGGAGATCCATCTCCCAGCTAGAACTTTTAAAACGAAATTCCATGTTATTATTGTGACCCAAAGTGACCCAAACAAGCTCACTTCCTCAAAATATGTCAGTAAACAGTCTTCAGTCCGGGACAATCAAGCTTATTTAGCCTGAACCACATTATAAGGATTTCATACTTCAATTACTGCAAAAATATATGACTGATTCTCTTCAGGTTTGAGAAACAGTTATATCACTAGTGTCTGTCAAATATTTCTCTACCTAGCAGATTATCAAGATGTCAAAAAAGACAAATGAAATTAGAAGAAAAACAGAAAAGTGGTTAATCTAGTTAGTGCTGTTAGTTAAATACCCGCTTAGAAAATAAATCTGGTTCCAAATCATGGAACTCCAGTGTTTAGTATAGTTTAAATTTCATTAGTTAGTACTGATTACTGAGAATAACCATTGCAACATAATGCCATCATAGCAAACACGTAAACAGGACAGGAAGCGAAGGATTAATAGTAGCCCTAGAATTTCTTTGTGAAAAATTAAATCGGTTATTACTTTAACATTAAAGGGGACTCCCACCATTTTTCCAGAATTTCTGCATAATTAAATGGTTAAGATGTAACAGTCTTTCAGAGTGGTTTGATGTGAAATGCTCCATTCTAGAGAAACTTACTGAGTGAGAATCGTTCACAGTGGTGGTGATAGGAACCAGATGTCTGAATGCCTCTTAAAGCTCCCTCATAGAAAGTTATTACCCAAAATAGGTACGAATACGGTGTCTGTCATTCATGGTGGAGAAACACACAGAGAGCGTAGTAAGGCAAAAATAGTCCCTAAAGAGATTTATCACTATTTTATCATTATCAATGTTACATATAAGAACTCAGAAGGCATGTGTAGACTCACTGGCCATTTTAGATAGAAAATAAAATGGCTATATTAGCACTGTAGACAATGTTACCTTGGTTCCTATCACCACCACTGTAAAGAAAATCTGAGTCAGTTACATTCAATGCAGTGCACTGTTTCACAACAAAACACTTGGACCTTGTTTACATCTCCATGACTAAATTATTCTGAAATTTTGAAAAACTGGTGGACTTCTCCTTTAATATTATGGAGTCTTAAAAGCAAAAAGTAGCTTAAACAAGTTGTACTCCAGATTAAGACACCAGCTTCACTAAGACACTAAACCTAACGGCATCCTTTCATGCTGTAGTAACACACTTACAGAAAAAGTAAGTGATGCACACCACACTAGTACAAGTCTCTAGGATTTAGGCTTTGCCCAAAAAAACAAAACAAAACAGCTATTTACAGATAAACAAGCAAATGTACCACGCTGGTGGCATTTTGGAGTTGCCTAAAAAGTTGCAAAAGACGCATAATACTCATCAGCTGACAGTGTGACGGAGTAAGGACTGGAGAAGAAGGTGATTTCCTTTCCCCAGAGCACCTTTGATTTAGTCAATCCTTCTGTGCAGGTGAGGAAAGCTGTAGTGGTTGTGGACTGGGAGTGCTGTTCACAGAACAATGAACAGGATGATCACAACAAACAGGATGGCCAACAAAATGCCAATTGCACACCACTGCCGTCGGTCTATGGAGGTAAAGAGTCAAAAAATTAGTTGAAAATATCAGTAAAATAGCAATTTTCACAATCAAGTTCAATGCTTTTTAATACCCTTTAAAGACCTGAAGGGAAAAAAATATATAATTCCTACTTTACAATAACACACACTCAATACAGCATGTATTACTGTTAATTTTATTCACATATTTAAACAGTTTATGACCATAACACCACTGTCCGCTGGATATTTTTGTTTGGCGGACTATTGTGGATCGGTTTCATATATAGAGACTCTTTCAACAAAGTCTTCAGGCATCAAATTTCACTTTAAAGGGTCAATTTTTATTGCACTTTATTTTTTACTCACTGAGGTCCACTTATGACCTCTGTGTTTATGACTGGTGCAAAGGAGTTATTTTCTGTTTGGCTGCTCTGTATTGTAAAGCTGACTAGGCTGAAACATTCCTTAGCCTTAACTTTAGCATGAATGGGCAGAGCTAATCTGCTGTAGGCTGAATAGGTAGATATTTGTAAATTTGCAGGTTTTCTTGACATTACAGGAACAATGAATATGAAAAAGGCTGTTTTTGCAGCTTAGTTTCCATACATGGACTTTGGAGTGAATGGTAAATGTTGAAACTTGAGCAATGTTTAAAAACTACTTTCCATCATATGGGCCTTGTAATATTTCTGATATATTATGACCTTATAAAACATTTTAAGAATCTCCAGGAATATTATTATTATTATTATTATTATTATTATTATTATTATTATTACTACATGTATAGTATTGTTTCCTCCCTGTTTATGTCCAGGAATTATAATCCAAAGCAAAACATTGTCCACTCTTGTGAGTAATTTTAAGAGGACACTTTTAAGTAACTGAAAATGTGCTTACTTTTCTATCACAACAACTCTAAGATGGGTAAATATTCTTTTGACATTTAATACTAGTTAATGATCTGGGTCATTTTCTGACACTGCCTGACTGCTCTTGTGAATGATGAAAATTTTGCGCCATTTCATTCTCGGCCTCTGAACCCAGAGCTTCCTTTGAGAGTCCCCAAGGTCAAACTTCCTGTGCTTATCGTTTGAAGCCATATAAGGAGTGCCATCATAGGCAAGCCCCGAATTTCCTTCCGCTCCCGTCTGTAACCCCCCTTGACTCCAGGAAGCAAGGGGTGGTTCTGAACAGGAAGTTAATTCATGCATGAATTCACTCTCAAACATGTTCTATCAGTCCACCCAGACATCAGTGCCAGCTTAGTAAATCAAAGTCTGTCTAAAACACAAATTGGTCATTTTAAACTTTTTCTCTTAGTATTTTCTCTTAACCACAGTGGGCTGAATGAGCTCTTGTATTACTCACCACTTGTCATGTGGGAAACTTTAGCCAGCTTCTTCATCACATTGTCCAGTCTGGACTGAGTGTTGTCCATTTCATGAGAGAAATCATCAAGCATTCTGTAAACCAGTGACAGATGATGCATAAGAAAGTTTATACTACATGGCAAGAAAATACAAATCATGATAATCTCACAAAATATTACTACCATGTTACTCATGTTATATGACACATTAAATAGCCAGCTGTTTAACGAAATATTCCAGCTGTTTAACGAATTTGGATTGGGCGGTATAATATGAATAAGGTGTACCACGGTAGTGAAAAATGATGAATGTATTTCAAAATCATGACGTCCCTCGTCTATCTAGTAAACGGCCAAATATACACCTGCTTACATGGGGGTGAAACCATCTAATCGCCTCACAGATGCTGTCAGACTCCGCTGTGGAGCCAAAAGGATCCTGTATTGTGCTGGTTATGACTTCTTTTCGCACCTAATGTGCTGCTAAAACAGGACTAGAAAATACCCAAGAAAAACTATGCAGGACAGTGGTACAATGACAGCTAACAGCTAACCACACCACAGAATTTTTCTAAACCTGTATAACTGGAACATCAGTTAGCTGGAACGGTGCCTGTACTGTAGGGTGTGGCACTTGTGTGTTAGCTAATGTTAAGCTAACAGTAGCTCAATTAGCAGGCCACAACAGCTCCAGACGTGACTGATCAGGTTTGATTTCGGCCCTGTCACTCCAAACACCAGTCACTTAACTTTGCTCTCTCAGACAGGAGTTTCTTATTGTCTATATTTATATCAATTAGTCAGAATCAAACCTGTACTGTGGTGTGTGTGGTACTGACTGGAGCTGTAGCCTGCTCGCTAAGCTAATATTAGGAAAGCCAGTAAGCTACAGATTCAAGCTTCGCCTTTTTGTACCTCCAATGCCAGCTGCTCGACTGCACTTCCTCAGATTTAACTTGTGTTAATGCTTTTACCTGTAAATCAAACCTGTTCTGTGGTGAGCAGAGCCAAAATCATGCTAGCTAAGCTAATGCTAACCAGTTCCCCTCACTGTTTACATTTAGTATTTTTTAGAAGGTAGATGTTTTGGTATTGAATGAGGGACTGTGCACTGTGTTCACTTATCTGATGACTGTGTAAACAAACTTTTTATTTGACTGTTTTTCAGGATGAGACGACACAAAAGCAACATTTATGGTTCCAGTATTACCATATACCATAGGAATATGTGAATATGGTATAAAAACATAGATTCTGCCCAGAGATAATCAATTGTCCTTTATGTTTGGTTACCTTGCAAAAATGAAAAGGTTTAACAGCCACAAGTCAAAGAAATTCAAACATATGTTGTTTAAATTGCTTACACTGCTTGTTCATCAAGCTCCTGTCCAATCCTTTGAGACATGTTCTTCAACACACCAATGGTCCCTGACACCAGCTCCAACTGCTCATCCTGCTGCTCCGCTATGAGCTACGGATGAACATATGCACAAACAAATCAATCACACTATGAAGCAGCCTGTTATTGGTGAATTACTCCATTATAACTTGGGAATCATGACGATACTGGAATCATATTGGTCTCGACAAATTACTGACATCTGAGCTATGTTTAAATTTGACTGATCTTTCAAACCAATATTTCTTGATGTATTTCCTGTTTTCCTGGAAGAGCAGAATGTTTAGGTGGTACAGGCTACTGTGCTAAAATGTCTGTATTTCATTCATTTTACTGCATTTGTAACCCTACAGAAAAAAAACCCGCTATATTTCTCCATAATGATGATCCAGGTGGATCCAGGCCCACAGTTCCCATATCATCACATCACTAGTAATAACATTACCATCAAAAATGAACCATTACAAATGCTTTGCTGTTTGTTCACGTTGTTCAGATGCAGGTAATTATAAAAGCACAGAATAAAAACTATATTTAGCAAGTTTTGTTTTAAGTTTGCCAGAATAACAATATAGTCTGTGTGCTTTATTACCTGCTGCTGGGTTTGCTGCTCCTCAATAAACTGGGAGTTGGCTGTTTGCAGCTCTCGGTCCAGACGGGTGTACCTGTCTCCTCCTCCTCCGGGTTGCCAGATTGGGCCATGGGAACCTCCATCCCCCAAAAGAGTCTTAAACAAAAATCAGATGTCATGGCTTCACATACAACACCATGACCATTGTAAAGTGGTATGAAATTGATATATTGAAAAAATTATATAATGCAGTTTCACTGTGATACAACTGAACTACATACACATACTATATGCATATTTTGAACTACATACATATAAAATCTGTCCGTTACCTTGGAACTAGGACTTGGATGGCATTAGATAACTAGACGTACAAACCTGTCTGTTTTTCTTGTCCGATATGGACACAGCCATTGGACTAGACATGTGGTCCTTCATCTCCTACAAATGAAATGATTATTAATATTCAAAAGGATTAAAACTGCAACCAATTCACACACACTGGACATACTGGTAACCAGCACTGGGGAAAATGAAGCAAATAAATTTTGACTACAGCACACTGAGGTTAACTTGCCTTAACTGTCTGCCTTGTGCTGGTGATGAAGGCTTTTCGCTTGGTCAACTCCACAGCATCAAGATTAAACTTTCTTGGATTTGCTTCCACAATACCTGAAATCACTGTTAAGGTCTTGAATATAGTAGAACTAGGACCCAGCATAAACTATACATAACTATAACTATAAATGCCATCCCTATGTTAACATATGCATTGTAAGGATATTAATAGTTTCGTCCAAATCCTCCAAATCCCATTCAATGGACCTCAGGCTGTTCCTCAACTCATTTGTGGTCCAGTCAATCTCTTCCTTGGTGGCACCACCCGGATCTTGCAGTAGCTCACTCCATCTCTGATGCAGACCTTGTGCAGTGTTTACAGCCTTTTGGACCTCCCTAAGCACAGTGAAACATCCACACCAACAAGATGAGTATTTGAACAGAGATAAGACAATATGAGGGCTCAAAATACTCAAGAGGATATTATATGCATTGAAGTAAATAAGCTGTTGGTCCACTGTGAATCAGGTGAATTCAAAAACTAATTGGTAGCTTTACTAAAGACATGTACATATTCATATCTGCCCTTTTCAGTTTGCTTAGTCTGACCCGAAAATAGTGATATATCAAGACCCATAATAAACCTGCAGCTAATATATTATCAAACCCATCCCTAAATGTACTATCAATCAAATGACAGAACATGGACATTGTATAGTTTTAATACATATTTCTGCAGCAGTTCAGATGAACTAAACAAGAAACTATACCTAGAAGTAAAGTAAAAGGGGAACTCCAACGATTTTTCAAAAGTTTTGCATGATTAAATGGTTAACATCAATACTGTCATGCAGAGTCGTTTGGTGTGATGCTCTGAAATGAGTCAGAACTGTTCACAGGGAGTGAAATGAGTCAGAACTGTTCACAGTGGCGGTAAAAGGAAACAGATGTCCACCTCTAAAAGCTCCCTCACAAAGTTATTATATGAAATGTTTATGAACACACTGCCTGTTGTCTTAGACACTGTTAGTTGTCTGACAAAAATGAATTTAATCTATGTATTTTAATCCATTCATGGTGAAGGAATACATGAAAGATGTTCTATGGCAAAACAGTCCCCAGAGAAAACTTTTTTTTCCCCCAGAAGGACCGTTATTTCGCCATCATCAACACTGCGTATAAACTCACAAGACACATGTAGGCTCAGTGGTGGTTTGGGGGTAGTTAATAAAATGGCTATATTTGTACTGTAGACATTGTTACCTCTGGTTCCTATCACCACCACTGCAAGGAAAATCAGTGGTGCTAAGTTTCTCTACAAATGAAGTATTTCACATGAAATCACTCTGAATGACTTTAACCAATGAAATTGAAAAATGGGTGGAATTCCCCTTTAACGTTAGGAAAAAGCAGTTAAGTAAAAGTAAGTAAAATCAAACCTGAAACCTGGTGGAGACGGAAGAATGACCTAATATAATAGAAAAGTCACCATAAGACCCAAAATAAGATATTTATTTAATCCAAAAAACTATTCAGCACTTAAGTTTAGCAAACAAAGAATGTAGCCGATGAGCTAACAGCGTTAGCGAACTGAACGCAGCTAAGTTAACGCTAGCGAGTTAGCTAGCAGTGTAATAACAAAGCAATTAGCCAGCCAGAGAAATACACGACTAAATAAACCAGATATTTTAGATATGTCCTAACAAAGCCACACTGTCCGTCACCTATTTCACTCTAACATATAAGCCGAGATGAGCACTGCAGCCCGGTTTCCCGGACAGCCGATCTGTTGGGTATCGTCCTCCACTGTTCAGGCTGGACAATGTCAGGGACGCTACTCACCCTTTCACGACGAAAAACGGGTCTTCCATCGACATGGTGCTGCTCACACTGAAGGACTCTAGTGATACACGGTCATGCTCCAAAGCCCGGCCGCTCTGCCAGCGCTCTCCGTGCGGCGTGAGAGCTGAAGGGGGAGTTACGGTTTGTTTATGTGCGGGACAGAGCTGCGCTCTCCGCCATCACTCCCTCCACTCCATCCGGGGCAGAGGTCAGCAGCTCCCTGGGAGACGCAGTGATGTCAGAAAAAAATCCGTTAAATAATTAAATAATTACTGATCAATTCTGTCTTACATAGCTGACGCATTGGTTTCTCTAGAAATGATGTATACTTTCACCAGGATTTTACCAACCAAGATCGTCTATCTATCTATCTATCTATCTATCTATCTATCTATCTATCTATCTATCTGTATGTCTATCGCTTATAGTCAATATCTTTTTCATCTATCTATAATCATCAATATATGTATTTGTCTGACTATCTGTGTATCTGCCTTCAGTCACATTGCCCATTTGTCCGTCTGTCTGTCTATCTGTCTGTCTGTCTGTCTTTTCTAAATGTTCCACTTTTAAAACAAGTCTGGACATGAATGTCTAAAACAGCTCCATTCACAGTCGAGCAGTTACTGAATGTCACTGTCAGCACCTCTGCCCTTACGCATTACTGACTGCAGTACTTACAATGCTTTTATTATTCATAAGGCTCATTCATTAGCTGGGATACCTACACCACAGTAACCCGGTAACACACACCGTCCTGTCTCTTGAATATATCCAGTTAATTAAAAGCTCAGATCAAAATACACCAAACACTACATTGCTTATTCAGATGTCTAAGAATACCTGTGTTGTTGTTCAGCATGATGAATGATGATGTGCCTGAGGTCTAAAACATGTCAGTATAAATTAATAATGTAAAATTCAACAACTTAATGCACTGATCAGTGTGGTAGGAGGCTGACAGCACACAGAGCTATGACTGATCAGCACTACACCCACTTCAGCTTCAATGAATGGAAAACATCTCTGATGCAAATGTAAGAAATATTGATGTGATTGGTGCTAAAAGGCACAAATTCATGAGGATACAAATGCAATCATCTTCATGCTGCTGGATGTTGGTTATAGCTTTACAATGTTGATTAAAAGCTCTGATAAAACTGATAGACACATTTTCCCTCTCACTGTTTCCCACTCAAGAGTGTAAACACAAAGCCTATTACGTCATACCCCGCTTTCCCTGATCGGGGTGCTTGTTTATGACCCACATCGAGCTCTTACTCGGCAAAATAACCCTTGAACCTTAAAAAAAATATCGGATTCAGATGCATTAAGTCTTTGTGAGACCTTTCGGTGTTTATTTTAGCTCGGTGTCACATCAGCTTTAACTGTTTCTTGAAACAAAACACCGCCTCTCTCTCCCCTCCCCCCCTCACTAACGGCTCCCATTCACATTTGCTCAGACACCGCAGAGGATTTGCACAATAGGACCATGTGACCCGACTGTAGGAGACACAAACCATTACATCAGTCCAGGATGTTGGCTGAAAAAAAAGGAAAATTAAAGGGGAAGCGACCATTTTTATTCGCGAGCGGTCAAAAACAAGACACGCAAACCTAAAATAGCAAAGGAGCCTGTAACAGTGCATGCAGTGTAAGTTAAACCTTAAATAATATTCACGTTTTTGCACTTGTAGTTGTATTTTTTAACCTCAAATCAGCTGCTCACTAAATAAAAAAAGATTCTCAGCAATTATATGTTCACTCACAGACAAATCACTACCACCACATCACTATAATAAACGCTGTAACTCTAATTAATATGCATTTTTTGTTATTGTTGTTGTTTTTAAATATATTTTATCGGTTAGTCGCCCTAAAAACATTCCGGTCTCTTTAAATTATTCTCCCACGTTAGTATTTAAATATGACTAATCTGCATCCTGTCTTCCGATTGGTCTGTGGCGGCTCGGCGGGGCGTGGTTTCGCGCGCTAGTGGCGATGTGATTGGTCGGCGTAGACGTTACGTTTTGGTATAAAAGTGGTCTAAAAATAGAAACGGTCTCATTCCTCTCTAGGCTGTTGTTGAGGGCAGAGACAGAGTACGGAAGGTAATGCGACCTCTTAATACAACCCAATAACACAAAAATATCACTATTGCGTTTTTTGAAGGACAGAGATGTGGCTGTCGTATTTATTTAACGTCTCAGATTTATGAAAACAAGAACGTAACTGGAGAGGACAAAGAAATCCACTAGTAGAGGAATAGTGTTTTAAAAATAGAGCTTGAATTTGTTCATAGACTACGTGAACAGTACTGAGTGTTTTTTTCAGCCCCGTTGGACGATTTTTGGTCATTTTTGGGGTGGACAATGCTTCAGTGAGACTCAGAGTTGATCGGGAACAAACTTGGTGACGACCGAGAGCCTCTCTGACTGGAGCTGAACTTTGAAACTACTCGACTTGTTTTGTGTATTGGTGAATCCAGCCTAGCGATGGAGTATAAAGTGGAGGCCCATCGGATAATGAGCATCTCCTTGGGGAAAATTTACAATTCCCGAGTTCAGCGTGGAGGCATCAAGCTGCACAAAAACCTCCTGGTGTCTCTTGTGCTCCGGAGCGCTCGCCAAGTGTATCTGAGTGACTACTACAGCGGGGTTTGCCTTAACGCCCAGCATGTGGAGGCCAAGGAGTGGGAGCTGATGGACGGCGACCAAGAGAAACTCATTCCAGCCTCTGAGGACTCCCTGCCCTCGTCGACCGACTGCGACCAGACGGAGGCTGCTGAGGTTCCAGAGGCCCCTCAGCCTGAGGAGACTCTCCCCAGCTTGGCTGTGGAAGGCCCTGAGGACCCCTGCGAGGCTGTGGAAGGCCCTAAGGACACCAGCTCCTCCGAACCTCAGGCAGAGCAGGAGGGTTCTTCCTCCGTGGACTCTACTAGTGATGTTTCTGTGCCATCTCCTGTGGTCAGTGAACCTGAATGTGAAGCTAAACAAGCCAAGGTGAGCTCTTTGGACTGTGAGACAGATTCTAACCTCGCCATGTCCGCAGAAGGGAATTCACACCAACCACCGAAAGCTCACTCTTGTTCAAACAGGAAGCGGAGTGCTGAGAAGACAGCCAGCCATGACTCTCCTGTAAAACGGACAAAAGTGACTTCCTCAAACGCCGACGAGGAGGAGGCCGAGGAGATGGACACGAGCAACGTCTCCAATCTCATTACAATCTTCGGCTCTAGTTTTTCTGGACTTTTGAGCAAGGAAAGTTCTGAGCCTGAGGCGGAAACGGAGGAAAGTGACTCAGGGTCGGGGCAAATCTGCTGTGACCAAATGCTAAAGAACCTGAACCCTTGGAGCACAGCCATTGTGGCATTTTAATAGCTGTGGAAATTGGGTGGAAGTGTGGTTTTAAAAGAAAAAAAAATGTGTATAACATTCACACATGGCCGTTTTGTGCTGTACTTCTTGACTGGGTTCCCCCCCGTAACACGTGGTGAGGCGTGTATGTGGTGTGGGACTTCCCCACATGAGTGGTGCTACCGAGCGCAAAAACCGGGCCTGGTGTGTTTGGGCATGTTTTTGTAAAGGAAAGAATGTGAACATGCTGGTACTGCTATGTAAAAACCGGGCATGTCAAACGGAATGAGGCCACTGAACAGACCTTGAACATTTGCAGGCCTACAGTGGGGGGTTTGGTTAACTTTAACCAGCAGTCTGAATGGATGATACATGTGAACTGTTATGCTAATGGCATCTGTACAAAGTTAAATGTTACATTGATGTAAGTACTGACTACAACAACAGAGTCTACCAGGCCGAGGCTGCCTTTGTCTTTGTTTTATAAAGACTTGTACATTTGTAACATTGTTCTTGTACATATTGTTTCTGATGTTGCATTATGAATCTATGTATTTTGGTATTTACTATCATGACAATTACGTGGTGATCACGTATTAAAATTTTGTGAAATGATATTTGATTCTTTTTTTTTTTTTAATCTTTATTTCGAGCGATCGTTTGAATAGCACACATTTGGATCACACAAACCATTTTGGCAACCGAAGCTAGACTAAAGTCCAATATTGTTGAGGAATCTGTTGGCATAAGACTTAAATGACTTCCTGCTTTTAGAAACGTTACTCAAGTTTCGATACTGATGTAACTTGTTTTTTATGACTACTGTCAGACTATGACTCAGACCTGCTGCACATCTTGGGTGCCCGAGTCATAAAGAAAGTTCCAGTTATTAATCGTATAATAAGCGCACTGTTTTAAAGAAAACTCCCACATTTACTTTTAAAACCAGCTTGACCTAAACGGGCAGAGGACAATAGCAGTGAAAAGAGCAGAAATGCTTAAAGTGCTCAGGCCCTGTTCTACTGAAACACTTTCTGTCTTCAGCCAGTTTTCACTGCGCGTTGTAAAACGAGCCATTGTGCCCTGAAGCATGCGTGGTATGTGGGATTTAGTTTCAGTCCAGACTCCAGGGCCCAACTTGACTCAGGCTGTTTTAACATGACAAAACATTTATTTCTCAAAACTGAACATGTTCATATTGGCTTCTTTAAAGTTTTAGATGTTATTATAAACAGTTTTACCCTTTTTTATGTGCACTTAGTCATCAAAAAACTCCTAATCATGTGGACATACAGACTTATTGGTCAAACTACATGTTTTTGTAAATTTTTCTAAGTGAAAAATGCACATTCTTTATGGAGAACACACCTCTGGACACTAATGTACAATTACAAAGTGCTGAATATAGCATATTGGCAAAAAACAAAATGAGGCCTGTGTAAAAGTTATGTCACATTTTATATTGCTTTTTTCCCCCATGTTACACTCAGCAAATAAATAGAAATTATGCACTAAAATGTGCAGAAGAAATGCCATATTAAAGGTTTTCCCTGTAGAGGGTGAGTCAACTTATTTTCACTTAGACTATGAGCCCTATTTAAACTTGTTTTACTGCTGACCTTAGAAAAGGCAGTTATTTAGACCCAATGTCCAGAATCAAACACCACGCTCAACATACAGTTCCCTTGAGATAACAACTTTGGCTAAACTTGGCATAAACATGAGCAGAGTCCACCAGGCCGGACCTCATGTCTTGTACGGTCGGATTCTTTCGCACGACCATGGGTGGCTATTGATAGAACCGGCTCCCCAGAGTAAAAAACCAAAAGCATGACTAAAGCTGC